AGCGACCTCATAACAGTCTCCGACAGCAACGACGTCGCCACAGCAGCCATCCGAGCTACCGTCTCCGCCGCCGCCGTCCGCAAAACAATCGGCACCGACGCCGTCCGCGTCGCCGTCGTCAGCGACACCGTCAACGCCGCCGCCGTCCGCCTCGCCCTCGCCGCCGCCGCCGTCCGCCTCGCCCTCGCCGCCGCCGCCGTCGCCTCCGCCTCCATCTGCCTCACCGTCTCCGCCGCCGCCGTCCGCCTCGCCCTCGCCACCGCCTCCTTCCGCCTCGCCCTCGCCACCGCCTCCCTCCGCCTCACCGTCGCCACCTCCACCATCCGCCTCACCATCTCCGCCGCCGCCGTCCGCCTCGCCCTCGCCGCCGCCACCGTCAACGCCGCCGCCGTCCGCCTCGCCCTCGCCGCCGCCTCCATCCGCCTCGCCCTCGCCACCGCCTCCCTCCGCCTCACCGTCGCCACCTCCTCCATCTGCCTCACCGTCTCCGCCGCCGCCGTCCGCCTCGCCCTCGCCGCCGCCGCCGTCCGCCTCGCCCTCGCCGCCGCCACCGTCTCCGCCGCCGCCGTCCGCCTCGCCCTCGCCGCCGCCGCCGTCCGCCTCGCCCTCGCCGCCGCCACCGTCGCCACCACCTCCATCCGCCTCACCGTCTCCGCCGCCGCCGACCGCGTCGCCCTCGCCGCCGCCTCCGTCCGCCTCGCCCTCGCCACCGCCTCCCTCCGCCTCACCGTCGCCACCTCCTCCATCTGCCTCACCGTCTCCGCCGCCGCCGTCCGCCTCGCCCTCGCCACCGCCTCCGTCCGCCTCACCGTCGCCACCGAATCCCTCCGCCTCGCCCTCACCGCCGAACTCCTTCCGCCTCGACCTCGCCGCCGCCGCCGTCCGCGATCGCCCTCGCCGCCGCCTCCTTCCGCCTCGCCGTCGCCGCCGCCTCCTTCCGCCTCGCCCATGCCGCCGCCGCCGTCCGCCTCGCCCTCGCCGCCGCCGCCGTCCGCCTCGCCGTCGCCGCCGCCGCCGTCCGCCTCGCCCTCGCCGCCGCCTCCTTCCGCCTCACCCTTGCCGCCGCCTCCGTCCGCATCGCCGTCGCCGCCGCCTCCTTCCGCCTCGCCCTCGCCACCGCCTCCCTCCCCCTCACCATCGCCACCTCCTCCATACGCCTCACCGTCTCCGCCGCCGCCGTCCGCCTCGCCCTCGCCGCCGCCGCCGTCCGCCTCGCCCTCGCCGCCGCCACCGTCAACGCCGCCGCCGTCCGCCTCGCCCTCGCCGCCGCCTCCTTCCGCCTCGCCCTCGCCACCGCCTCCCTCCGCCTCACCATCGCCACCTCCTCCATCCGCCTCACCGTCTCCGCCGCCGCCGTCCGCCTCGCCCTCGCCGCCGCCGCCGTCCGCCTCGCCCTCGCCGCCGCCACCGTCAACGCCGCCGCCGTCCGCCTCGCCCTCGCCGCCGCCTCCTTCCGCCTCGCCCTCGCCACCGCCTCCCTCCGCCTCACCGTCGCCACCTCCTCCATCCGCCTCACCGTCAACGCCGCCGCCGTCCACCTCGCCCTCGCCGCCGCCGCCGTCCGCCTCGCCCTCGCCGCCGCCACCGTCAACGCCGCCGCCGTCCGCCTCGCCCTCGCCGCCGCCTCCTTCCGCCTCGCCCTCGCCACCGCCTCCCTCCGCCTCACCGTCGCCACCTCCTCCATCCGCCTCACCGTCTCCGCCGCCGCCGTCCGCCTCGCCCTTGCCACCGCCTCCCTCCGCCTCACCGTCGCCACCGCCTCCATCCGCCTCGCCCTCGCCGCCGCCTCCCTCCTTCTCACCGTCGCCCCCGCCGCCGTCCGCCTCGCCCTCGCCACCGCCTCCCTCCGCCTCGCCCTCGCCACCGCCGCCGTCCGCCTCACCGTGGCCGCCGCCGCCGTCCGCCTCGCCCTCGCCACCGCCCCCGTCGGCCTCGCCCTCGCCGCCGCCTCCCTCCGCCTCACCGTCGCCACCGCCT